ACTGGAGACACGAAGGTTCACTGTTAATGTATTCTAAGTAAATTAGTGACAAAAAGACTCTTATTATGGACTTGTAGACAGGCAAAAGCACTTTAACAGACTCCAGACAATTCAGTTCTGAATCTCGTGGCTGGCTGCAACAACAAAATAATAAACTGCAGAAATACACACATTTTCCAAATTAGCACGAGTGATTCTGATGAGACTTGGCCTAGATATGTTCAGAAAAAAATCATCTGAAGTAACTGTTGATGCACTATCCATCCACTATATGTCTACATTATTGCTGAGTCAGGAACCATCCATCCAGTCTGGGGGACTCACAAGGGTGCTACACACTTTCCTAGCTGTCATGGGGTGAGAAGCATGTGTCACGGTCCCCTGGGGGGTCTAGGCGGTGAGGGGGAAGTAACAAAAGTGACCGGGTCAGAAAAAGGAGTCAAGGAGGCAAAACAGTTAAATAAAACAGTTTTATTGAAGTAGTTCAACTAAAAGAGACGGACAAACCGCTATCACCATATAAGAAACACAAACAAAACTCAGGCGTTGGTCAATAAAGCTCAAAGTCAAAAGGAAAGCGCAGCTTACTAGCTGGAAACACAATGCACAGCTCACTAGCTGGAAACACCGCAAACACTCAGCTCACTAGCTGGAAACACCGCAAACACTCAGCTCACTAGCTGGAAACACCGCAAACACTCAGCTCACTAGCTGTACCCACACAAAATGGCACTCTGGCCCAGAGCTCACCCTGCTCTGGGCTTAAATACCTTTAATTGCTGATGGGAGTCAGCTGTACAGGAGGGAAAGGTGGCACCTCAGGCAGGAGGTAGTGGGACACGCCCACACAGGCACCCTCAGGAGAGAGAGAGGCCCTGCTAGGGCCGTAACACATGGTACACTACAGAGTATGACAGGTTACCAATATGTTGAGGGCTAACAGAGTGACAACAATTCACTCTCATATTCACATCTATTGCCAAATTAGAAGCACCAATTAACCTAACACATGCCTGTCCACTGTAAAAGGAAGGTGGGGTACCTGGAGAAAACCCAGCACCACAATGAGGCCCCCGCCATCCCATGGATATGAACCCAGAGCCTTCTTGCTGTGAGGCAAAAGTGGCAACCTTAATTTTCGGACACCCCTTTAGCTTCTTAGCTTTTCAACGTGAGGAACAACAGCATTTACAAATGCCTGCTTTAGAAGGTGGGTGTGGTGCCAGATAGCACAGTCACATGATCTTACATTGGTCTTTGCCTTTTCTGGTGCTGTTTTGTTTTCATTCATTAACACCACTTGGTCTGGTTTACGGTCTGTTAGGATGAAAAATCTTCCAACAGAAAAACTTTAATGTTAAAATGAATGAATGAGACTTGATTTGAAACCCCCAAATACAAACAAAACCCCATACTAGCACACTTTTACCCCTACACAAGTTATCAGGGGTCCCCGAGGATGCTGAAAGGTTAAAATAAGTTCTTTCAAACCAGTAACTGTTCACATGACAGAGCAGGCTGTCCTGAATCCAGGCATGGAAGAGAACACTTTGATAAAGATAAAATCTGGAAGGGTACACATTAAATCGCATGGCTGTGGAATAGGTTCATGAATTCATATGGATCCGATTTTAACATTACTTGAATACTAAAAAAACTGTAGATCACAATTCTGGCTATAGGATCGACTACTCACTCTGAACTCTTTAGAAATGTTAAGTCTTTCATAAAGTTTTGCCTACTACAGTTTTTAAATAAGAAGCAAATACACCTTTACTTATTATACTACTCACTACCAATGTGAATAGCATAAAGTTATACTTTCTATACTACTATACTAGAGCTATACTGCTGAGGTGTGAAAACATCTGTGAGTGTACAAACTCAGGCTACATCATCTGAGGCCGGGGTTCTCAGACTGCTGCCTCACATTAAAAGGCAAACTTCTTCCATCTGCAAGAAGTTCCTCTGGCATTTCCTCTGTTACCCTCACGACAGTGATGAAACCAATTGGAGCACACTTTTCTGTGGTCTAATTATGCCTGTTTCAGTCATTGAGAGACCCCTGGAACCACCTTGCATGTCGGAAACAATGCTACAGGCTAATCTGTGCTTTACATTGTTAAAGTGGTGCTGAACAGACAGAACAACGTGACATCTTCAAAGTGAGACCGTGTCGATCTGCCGCAACCGCTAGTCTGCAAATTACTTTACTTTGGTCTGTGCAGACAAAGGGTACTACATCTGTGTGAAACCTTTCTAAAGCCGAGTGTAGACAAAAGAAGAAACTGCAGTTTAGGGTAAAACCATGCACAAGATTTATAGGCAATATTTCTATTACTGTTTGTTAATGTTTGTTTTGTGAAAGTTATATGGAACAAAAAAATAATAATGGCTGTTATATCATTTGTGGTCTAACCTCTTAAATGGGGACTTTTGCTGCTGCTGCCCTGCACTGATCATCCACAGGTGAAGTGAAAATTTCCTGTAAAACGTCTTCCTCCCATAGCCTGATTTCTAAACCATCCGCCAATGCTGCCAACAAGGCGTGTGAGCAGGAGGTCAGTGAATTAGTATCAAATGACTCAATCATCTGTTGGGAATGTGGAACAAAATTAGTCTGATCGCTTTTTCCTGTCAGTGTGTCATATCTGCTCAATTTACATCAAACGAACTGACTGAGGATGCATATTTTAAGAATAAATAGATCTTATAGCGGAACATGATTTGAGATCTATGTTATTCATGTGAGGGCCCTGGTGCAGTGAAAGGTAATGTGAGATTTGGCTTCTGTTCAAAGTTAAATTTGAATAAAGATTTTTTTGTCCACTTTCTTTTTAAACCAAAAAGTTGAATTTCTAATTGATAAAACATGCTGGTGCTTTAGTAGTGGGCATATATTTGTAATGTCCAAAATTTACCACACCCGTGACAAAAATCTTGCACAAAGCACAGATAAATGTCCAGAATTAAACTCAAAATCCACTGGGTAAGCAGTGTTCACTCTTCTTACAACTACACATGTTTCTTTTCCAACTATTTATTTATGAGTGACTTATGTATGTATGTATGTATGTATGTATGTATGTATGTATGTATGTATGTATGTATGTATGTATGTATGTATGTATGTATGTATGTATGTATGTATATATATGTATATATTGTACTATTCTTAGTTAGTGTATTGTCTGTCTTGTCTTAATGTTGGTTTAAAATGGAGCACTGTAACAAAAAATAATTTCCCCCAGGGATCAATAAAGTATTCTGATTCTGATTCTGATTCGTGCCTGATTGCTGGTGTTCGTGTAATGTCAATGAGGGACTTCACGTTTCTACACAAGCAAAACACAGCCTGATTACATGACACTCAAATATATACAGTGTGATATACCTATGTTAGTGCTGTGAAAAATTAATTAAAAAAATCTTGTGATGTCTGTCAACTCTTATACGTGTGTACTACAGGTGCACAGCACACACCCTTTACCACTGTGTGTGTCTCGTCTGCGGTTTACTGAACATCTAACGGCTAGCTGCTCGCTCTGGAGAAAGAAATGGTGTTTGACTGCTTTTCAAAAGAGGCTTTTATATGAGCTTCGTGTCTGGTGTGTTCAAATTTGAAAAAGAACAGGAGGCTGACCAGCTGACAGGCAATTAGTGCTGACTTGGCACTGGTTAACCTTAAAGCTGTTTTTTGAGTCATTGAGGGAAAAAAGTCTATAATCATCATTCAGGATGTTGTAATTGAAAATGATGCATACACCTCGTCTGCTTTCTATTTTTGAGGCCTTAGAGCAATAGATTCCCAGCATACTGTACAAGTGACGGCCATTGTTAAAAAATGGCACACATCAAAAACTTTCTGTTCAGGTTTGCCCGGTGTCTGTTCAGCAGCTGTTACCCTGCACAGCTTTAATAATATGATATGAACTGTGGATGGAGTGAAAGTTCACAAATGAAATAGACATGGAGGTAGAGGATTTGTAGGTTTCCACTACCATAGGCCAGTCTAATCTGAAATGTATCAGAAGCTAGAGCTATTCTGTTTTATGAATACGAATAAATGGGTGGGCTACTGGTGTAAACGGTACTACTTTAACCTCTTCACATCCAGCAGGTCACAGGATCTAGGATTAGGAGGAGGATTGGAGTTAGGGTGGGGCTTTGTTTTAGCTCCACACCCTAAACGAGTTGTTGTGACCTGGATGGAGATTAATCTTTGCCAAAAATGTGAAAATAAAATGTGGAAAAGTCATGTTTCAAACATGATGGGACTCACAATCACCTGGGTGTTAAACTTTGAACCACTGTAACTCCTTCAACATCCTTAGGTTAAGAGTGCAGGTCACAAAAATGAGGCAAGTCATGGTTAGGCAGGCCGTTTTACCAAGGGCAGTGCATTAAGGCACTAAAGCTAAAAAACACCTTGTGAGTAATGATGCACATGACATTTGACGAAATGCCCTGATGCAACAGGAGATGGGGAGGGAAGGAAGGGAGGGGCAGGTAACCCCTCCCTGGGGCCAGCTCCCCCGCTGACCCCAGTAGGCACTCCCACCCTCCGCGACCCGCCAGGGAAGGGGGGCCCAGGCCCATCAGACCGGGGCCCAGTGCAGTAGCGCCCCCCGGCTCCACAGAGCCCGGGACAGTCCACCCAACCCCACCACAGAGAAAACTGCACCCACCCCACCATCCACACATCTTCCAGACTACATAAGACGGTAAACGCCCAGGCTGAGATCTTCCTCCACCTCTCCTGTATCTCCCCCTCCTGCAGAGAGTTCCTGAAGAGAAGAAAGCTCCTGCAAGATGTGACCATCCCCCCCACCAGTTGAGTTTTAAAGATAAACCTATTAGTGGGAAAAACTCCAACCATCTTGAAATTGGTAGATAATGTTAAACAGTTTATGATTTACTGCTGCCAAATAATTCAGTTGGATAAACACCAGCCAGACATCTACACCAATGACAAATTACAGAGAAATAAGTGAACTTACCCAAGCCTGTCCTCTTCCTTCTTCCTCAGATCAAAATCTCTCTGGACAACTTCCCACACATGCTGAGCCTCCTCATCTGTGAGCTTGGAAAGATCAAGCTTCTTGCCTGCAGTGCTGCCAGGCATGATTGTGAACCTGATGCCTGCAGACTAGCAATCTCCCTGGGTTTTGGGCTGTAACAAACAGAAGTAGTTTAAGTCATTAGTCAGCATTAATAGCACCCTGTGGCATATAACAATATAGGAACATTTCTGCATGCATTGTAACGTTTAAGATAAACTCTGAATGATGAGGTTTATAGCATGACATGTGAGTGATCAAATTCTATCACATTCTTTGGGGATGATCACGTCATGTTTATTAGTGCAAGCTAAATGTTTAAAACAGATTTTTTAAACAAAGTTTGCATGTAAATGTCCCTGCAAGTCCAACGTACGTGTGAGTGGAGAGTGGAAGTGGAATTTAATAAACAGCTTTCTGAACTGACTCACTGAACTCAGTTTGCAAAATCTAACCAAACAGCACAGGTCGTGGATATGCATTACATATCCTGTCTCACTACTGTATGAGAAAAAGATTTTTTTAATATTAAAGGTCAGGTTCAGATTTATTAAGTCATCCCTGCATGTGCTGAAAATGTTCTCTTCCTATAGTGGCTACAAAAAGACATATGGGACTGAATCTAGAGAGTTGCACCAGTTCCAGATGCCAGCTTTGGCTTTAAAAAGCATTGTTGCATATGATGAGGTTCAGGCTGTATTTATGCCTTGTGTCACCAGTCTACACTGAACACTGTAGGCCCCTTAATACCAATCACTTGAGGTTTGAATGCCAGAGCCTGTCAGATAATTGCTGCTAACCATGTGCATCTCTTTGTGGTAACAGTTCACTGTCTTCCGATGGCTTCTACCAGCATGAGAATGTGTCATCTCAAACTAATTTCATGAACATGACCTTAATCTTAGTAGACTGTGCCTCCCCAGTGATTAGATCTAAATCCAGTAGAATCAGGAATATGCTGGAACAAATCTGGACAAATGACAAATGAAGTTCATGCAATCAACAAGAACTTCAGATTTCTTTTTGTTGAATCCATGACACTTAGAGCTGAGGCTATTTGAGAGTAAAGAAAGGCCCAACCTAGCATTTGCAAGGTGTTCGCATGGAGTGAATACTTGACCAACTATTACAGTTTTTAAGATCCACCAGGTCAACGTCAACCCAGCTAGTGTGTGTGTCCTGTTTGTTTTAGCCACAATGCTAAATGGGCAGATTTACAGAAAGAAATGAATTCTCATACGTTTTGGAATTGGAGTGTTTCCTGTTTAAAGAGCTGTTTTTTTCTACTTGGGTAGTTTATACAGGTGACGTTCTATACAAACTGAGTACATGTTAACTAAAACCTAAGCCTATAATCCTCAATGGGTTGCAAAGACCCAGTAGACCACAGACGTTAAAGTTTGGTTTGCAAACTCCACTGGAAATGTAAGCAAATAAACCTGAATGTGGGCTACTAGAAACTAAAAGCAAAAACACTTTTTGTCGCAGGGGGCATATATTCTGTAAAGTTGGGCATTTTAATGATTTTTACGGCAGTCTGTGGTGACTGACTTGCTTTTGGAGTTAGCTTCAAATGTCCAATAGAAGAACTGCAGTCTTTGTCACTTTCAAACCTCCAGGGCTTGTTGCTTGGCTTTAACTGATACTGATACTAATACTGCACTCCACCCTATAGTGATTACTTTTGGCAAATGTCAAAATGCTCTAAGGTTTCAAGGCCTCAAAATGGGACTTTACTCTACAGTATAGTACATTTACTTCCTGTCTTCATAGAAAAGCTTTATTGTGTTTGTGAGTCACTCAAGCTGTCACTCAAGAGCTGAAAACAATGTCCTATGGGGAAATCTACTGTCAAGTTCATTTTTCACTGTTTTGCCCAAACATATGAGACCACTATATTAAGAGCTTAAACCTTCTCAACCACATGGATCTGTCCTGTGATCCAGAAAGGTTTGGCACAGCTCAACAATTACATCACTGCAGGATTTTAATCAAGTTTCTGTTATAATGGAGCCTCGACAAAATATTTCACATGGTTCGGTTTCAGAATGCATTACTTTCAGAGGATGAGGTAAGGCCACTCAAGCTGACAGAATGATACACATAAGTGAAGGAATGTTCCGGATGGTCACATAATTGTCTTGTTTTCCAGAGGCCATGCAAGAACAACTCTTCCATCACGTGACTGGCCAACCAAATCTAATTTCTCCTTGTGCAAGTGGGCAGTAATGTTAAAAACAAGCGCGCCAGTTGAGAGAAAAACAAGTTTCATTGAAATGGTAGAATATGAACACATCATTTCTCACAGTTTTCCCACAGTTAAACTCTTACATGTTAACAGGCGAGCTATGCTACCTCTACGTGTATTTGTTAAGTGGGTGTGAGCTACTGATTTCGCTGTGCTGTATTAAGTAAACATTGTAAAGAAGTGAATAAGAAGATTAAAAATTCCCAAAAGCAATCAGTATGGCACTTTACTTTTAATAATCCTATTTTCTGAGGTCTGTAAACTGAACATATTCTGAAATGAAATTCAGGGAAATTATTGTTCCTGCAATGTATTCAACAGGTGCAGGTGATTTGCAGCAATCCTTATGTTTGCAAAGGGAAGGTTTTACAGCAGGTTTGGAGACATTAATCCTGGGATAGTTTTGCTCTAAGAAACTGTAGCGATAGCAAACAAGTTCTTTATTTCTCATAAAGTCAGTTTACACTCTTTGCAACCTATGCTACCTCTGAGGAGATTAAAGGAAATTGACTTTAAAAAACATAAAAGATGTGTCTTTCATTAAAAGTTAAAACTTTTCAAGACATACATTTGCCCCAATGACACAAGTTAAAACCCTGACAATTAAAGTAACACGATTCTTACAAATCAGGAGATATGAACACATTAACAAGACACTGACTTACCTTTGTGGTGGTTTAGTTGCCTGCAGGCAGTGTTTCCTCTAAAGGCAGACAAAGCTGACTGCAGGGCAAAAACTAAGTAGCAGACAGCAATGCTAATCACATGTCTTGTTAACCAAGAGGAAGAAAAGCCGGGGAGACAGCCTCCTCTCCGCCTTCTTTGACTTTACTTCAAAAGGTCTGGCTTTAAGCTTGCCCTCCCCCCAGGCCTCATCCATAGCATTATTCAAATATACTGGACCTGCTATTTTGTCAGGAAAGTAGCTCAATAATGGTAATCAATCAATTTGCAAGCAATTATTTGGGAGCATTAGATCACAAGGACGGTCAGAACATGCTGTGATCGGGAGGTTATACTTGCGCAGGGGCCATGCTAATCTTCTCTGTATCGTATCCAATTTAGCGTACGCGCGGGAGGTTATACTATAGCCAGTCACATGCAGTGGATCCTGAGTTAGATGAGAAAGTGTGATGCATGACTACAGAGCTATTAACCTTACTTAATTAATACCCGATATCCTCCATTATAATTTTGAAAAGAAAAACACTTGATCTTCTAACATGGGAAAAAAAGCAACCCCCCCCAAAAAAGGCATCACTGCTGTTAATAATTGATGCATTGCCGTGTTTAAAGAGTACTTAGAAACACAACATAGTTGTAGGCCTGTTATTAACACAGCAGGTGGATCAGTTTTCTTTGTCAGAAAGCTATCAGGTTCAAGTACAAAGCCAAACATTTTATGCTTTGAGCTACAACTTGGAAGTGCTTATTTTGTGTTGAAATCATTACAGTCACACGATTTTGGAGAAACTTCTCATAGATGATGATGAGAATGTACAAAGACAAGATGATTAGGTAAAGCATCCAACTGAATGTGAAAATCAACAGGGACTGAACTGAGAGGACCTCTCTTTGGTAATACATTTATGTCATTCTCCTCTTATAAACATAGGATTTTCTCCCATTCCTTCCTCAGCTCATGTGTGTATTACCAAAAGGGCTGATTTGAGCCATGTGACAGGTTCAGCAATCCAATTTTCTTGTTTGTGCAACCACTAGTCCCTATAAGTTCCCTGTGCAATAAATAAACATGAACACAGTATTTTTTTTGCACTTCACATTTTTGTGACTTTATTACATTCCAGTGGGTGGATCCATATATACATACAGTAGTTTCTTTCAAGACATGGAAAGGCTGAGCTAGCCCAATATGCACATTACATACTAGAATAACGTTTGGCTTATAAAAAATTGTCTGTTCAAAGATGAGCCAAATTTGGAACAATTTGAATATACACAGGCAATTATTGAACTGAAGAGGACTTTAATTGCCCATGATGGGCTTACTCTTACAGGCTTAGCGGCCGGTCTTTTGATCTGGACAAATGTGCATTCCCTACACAGTTGGCAAGTGGTTTCTGCCAGTCATATATATAGGCATAGGAATATGGTGCAGCACAGAAAACCTTGTGACTGTTTTGGTCACTATCATTTTGATGCGGTTACATGTAGTTTGCGACTTGTCTGCCAACACTTGATAAGTGTGGGAATGAAACTGAAAAATGTGACACAAATGGAGACATTTGCCTTAAAAGTAAAAGCTTCACCTTTTCAAGTGTTTTAGTTGCAGGGGCAAAGGCCAGCCCTATAGAAAAGGTTGTTGGGACACAATTAAGGAATGTTTTGGAGATGATCAATATTCCTCACAAATTTCATTCTTATTTCAGAAAGTTAAGAAATCCAGTGAAATTGCTCTACTAAAAGTCTCAAATTACATTTTGATGGCTGCAGATAAGCAGATAAGGTAAGGGATCAGTCCTTGTTTTGCTTGACCTCAGCTCAGCCTTTGATATCATTGACCATCAGATCCCGATCCATACGTTCAACTGCATGATAGGATTTTCCAGCCCTGTTTTGGATTGGTTCATTTCAAACTATTTGGTTTCCGTGGGAAGCTTTTGGTGAGTGTTGCTTGTCTAACATATGGCATTCCTCAAGGATCTGAAAGTCCTTTGTTATTTATATTGTATATTCTCCCATTAGGTCATAGTATAGTAGTATAGTCAATTCTTAATATTTGTTTGCAGATGACATTCAACTATATCTCTCTTTTAAACCTCACAAATTGACAAGTTATCCATTTTAAATGATGGCAAATAACTTTTTGCCACTTAACAGAGTGACAAATTATCACTCCTGAAACATTATTGGCAAAATCAAATAGTGATTGGGGTCCTTTTCATCCTGTCTGAAAGATAACATGTGGAACCTTGGGTTAACTTTTTATCAGCCTTTGACATTTGATGCTTATATTAAGCCTCTAAAATGCTGTTGTTTTTGGTTTTGTTGTTGTTGTTTTTCATTAAAGAAATACTGTTGAGCTAAGAACTGTCTCAAAAAATGAACTGGAGATACCTGTATACTCTTTCATCTCCTCTTGCTTGGACTTTTGGATTATGCACTTCTTGTCTGAATAAAGCATCTATTAATCATCTCCAGTCTGTTAAAAATGCCGCTGTAAGGCTTTTAACTCACTCTCATAAGTCTTCGTGTATCACCCTGCTTTTAAAGCTTTTGCACTGGCTTCCTGTCAGGTTTAAATTTCAGTTTTTCCTTTATCGACTTATGAGGTTAGGCCCCCGCCTATAATATGGAACTGCTCCGAGTCTGTTTCGCCGCACCCTTGACTCTGTGACATGTTTTAAAAGCAGCTGAAATCCCAACTGTTCATATAGGCATTAGGGTGGTGTTTGTGTTTTGTGTTGTGTTGCTTGATTTATGTGTATTCACTTTGCCTTTAATACCGGCTAGTTGTATCAATTTACCTCAGTAAAGCACTTTGTGACTGTTGCTTGTGTTAAAAAGTCCTACAAAAAGAAAGTTTATTTATTAACTTATAGTGAGTTATTATACTAATACTTTGTTACATATGGTGACAAATGAATGCAGAAATGTCTAGCAACAATGCTGTAAATTTAAAATGAATCATCCTCTAACTTTTCGTACAATTGAATAAACACAACCTACACTGTGTTTATAAATTCCTCTCATCTTCTGTATTTAAATGGACACGATGGCGATCTTTCAAAATCTGCTCAGATGGATGCAATTAAGGTCACATATTTAAAACAAACTAAGCAGCCTTAATAAACACCAGTAAATACCATTAATTTTTCACTTGATGTTTGAACTATCTCAGCTGTATTTACCTTCTGAAATTTAATTGTCTTATCTGACAAATGCTACCATTTGTTGCGAGATAAATAAAATTCAAGAAGCTGGTTTTAATGAGTTTAATTCTACCAATTTTGTAATCAGTTAGCAATAATCTGCAAGTATGTGTGTCTGTGTTGCATAGAAGGTATATGATGGATGTAGTTTGAAGTCAATGCAAAAGTGCCTTAAACATGCATTGTTTATAATCACCAGCAGGGGGAGACACATGGAGAGCAGAAAATAGGGACATAGCTTCAGGGTCTAAAAAGTGAATTCAATCTGGAAGCACACTGAACTTGCATTCTTTTCAAAGGGACAACTTCTCTGACCATCTGCCATGATCTAATTTTGTGTCACACTATAAAAACAAACAAACAAAAAAAAGAGCAACAACAAAAATCAGATCTGTAAATTTTATTTATTCTACATGGAACTCTGAGATAATGCCCTATAGTGTCATCATATGTGTTGTGTGTCAGGCAGGATTGGACCTAAATGCAGGACTCTCAGAGATGGGACTTAAACTCTAAACACAACTTTATTTGCTGGAGAAACTTGTCATAAGAAATTAACTTTATAAAATAAACCAAAAACCTCAAACATGAACTAGAAACTAAACTGGACTTGCTAGAATTTCACCAGGAACACACAGCACAGAGCGGGTATACATGGAGGTTAACGACACAACACAGAGCAAGGAAAACACAGGGCTTTAATACAAGAGGCAGTAACGAGGGAATGGGAAACAGGAGGGAACACAGCTGTGCCCAATCAAACATAATGAGACCAAGGGGAAGCAAAACTGAAAACATAGACACAGGACACAGACTGTAGAACAGGAAAAATGAGACAATTCACAAAGACGCAAACTAGACAGTAAGATATAGAAACATGACAGACCTGGAAAAAAAGGAAACATGAAGCACAGAGACAAAAAATAACCAGACGTGAAACACGGAGAAGGTACAGAAAACTGAAACTGGAAGCAGGAAAAAAAATTTAACATGAACAAAAAACCATCAAGAGAACTCAAAACCAGGAATAACAATAATCAAGGGTTATAAATTAAACACAAACACAAAGCACTCGGTGGCAGACTCAGTGCCGTGACACACAGCTGTTTTTCCTAATGACTTTATGAGCTTAATAGCTTATTAGGTTAAAATTAAACTGAGTATGTTATGATGTGCCTTTTAAAAATTAAGGCCTTTACCGGAGTAAAAAAATAAAAAATAAAAAATAGTTTTATCAACAAATTCCTACAACAGTCAATTAAACAGGTTATGCTTTGCTGGCAACTTATGTCTTAACTTCAATGGGACTTGTGTTCATGTCATGCTGGATATGTCTATCTTTTTATACAGTCTATTTTGACATCACCACAATAGACAGTTTAATCAGTAAATCATATGTTAAAGTACTGTCTTTATTTAAGCCATGTTAGCTAACAACATTGATTAGATCAAGGTATGGAAATGGCAGCTCTTAACAACCTACTAGTGTGTGGCCTTTATTTAATTTAGTTTTAAGACATTTTTTGTTGAGTGAGTCCCAAAAAAATAATAATATTCATGAATCCTACAAATGCATCAGCATTAAAAAACAAACAACCAAAAATAAACAACTTGTAATCATATGGACTGCCCTCTTCTGGTCATTAGAAAGAATGCATATTTAAGGCAATTGCACATCAGCTTCACTTTTTAAATGTAGAAGAAGTCTTTTTATATACAGTTTGTGAGAAATACCTCTTACTGCATTTATTCCACTTTAAGTTTTAAGTTTTAACTGAAGCCACAGAGATCATGACCCCATTTAGCCTTTTTAAAAATCTGGAATGAAAAACTGAAAACAAACTATTTGAAAGAGTGAAAGAATTTCTCCTTATGCCTCTTCTCACTATTGTTTGAATTTAGGCCCATTTTGATTAAGAATTTACTTTGACATGGACCTGTTGATTATCTCTTCCTGGTTTTTCAGGAGTTCTGGGCCTTGTTTCCTGTACACACTGGAAAGCATGTAGGGAAAGGTCCTGTTTTCAATGCTGCGATAAGCCTGTAACAGCAGGAAACGTACTCAGATGCCCTGGAATTTAAGGGAGTCATGCCTTCACTGAAAGTTTTTCTCTATATTAAATTGAAAGTTGATGAAGTATCAGCTGAGTCTCTGTGTCCAAGTGTGTGTGTGTGTGTGTGTGCATGTGTGCA